CGCCGCCGCCGTCGGAGCGCGCGACCGCCGAGGGCTCCGAGGACGCGCCCGCGGCCGAGGGCTCCGAGGACGCGACGGCGGCCGAGGGCTCCGAGGACGCGACGGCGGCCGAGCTTCAGGGCTGGAAGGCCCTCCTCGACGAGGGCCTCATCGACGACATCGACTACGCGGCGAAGGCGGCCGAGATCCGGGACCGCGACGGCGCGACCGACGTCGCGTCTGGGGACGTCGAGCCCATGGCGCTCGCGAGCGACGCCGACGACGCCGCGGCGACGGGCGACGCCGCGGCGCGCGAGTCGTCCCTCCACGCGCTGCTCCGCGAGCTCGACGGCTTTTGCACGGTCGCGGAGCGGACGAAGCCGTCGGCGACCGAGGGCGAGGCGGTGAGCTGCTGCGACGGGCTCACGGTCTCCCGCTTCGCCTCCGTCGTGCACAAGCTCGCCGAGGCCGTCGTCGCGGGCGTGCCGACGGCGGACGAGGCCGAGGACCTGCTCAAGGTCTTCTCGCGCGTGCGGGCGCTCGGCGTCGTCGAGCACGACCGGCTCCACGGCGTCTTCCACGTGCTCCACCTGGTGCTCAAGCAGGACTTCGAGTTCCAGGGCCGCGCGCTCGTCCAGGCGCGGAACCTGACGAAGGTCGGCCCGAGCGGCGCGGAGGCCGGCCAGGAGGTGCGCAAGAAGCTGCACCACGTCCGCGTCCGCCTCGCGGGGACGTTCCTCGCGCTCCTCGCGGCGTTCTACGCCGACGAGGCCTACCGCGAGCGCTTCGAGGCGCTCTCCCGCGACGCCTTGGGCAAGGTCGCCGCGGGCCAGTTCCTCTCGCTCATCGTCGACTACCTCTCCAGCGACGGCGGCGGCGGCGATCGACACGTCCGCGCCGCCGGTCTCCGGCGAGGAGCGCGCGTTGCAACTGGCGCTCGGCGCGGACTCGGCGGACCCCGCAGCGGCGCTGGAGGAGGAGGACTACGGCGGCGGGCTGGTGCGCAACCCCCTCCAAGACACGGCGCTCGAGGGCCCGCCCAAGGTCGCGGACGCGCGGCCCAAGCCGGTGCCCGCGCTCCTGCTGCTCCTGCGCGGCGCGGACGCCGGCGCCTGCACCCACGTCGAGGCCCGCGGCCGGCGGCGGCGAGCGACCGACCTGCTCCTGCGTCACGCCC